CATGCTGTGGAAAATAGACAGTGCAAAGGGTGGCTGATAGTAGGCCAGCTGTCACATGTCTGATAACGGGAGAGATGTAAGGGTGCCAGGAACCACAGTGTTTGCTTCACTGCACTGTTGCTCTGGGTAGCAGCATGAGAGCTTTCCATAAAGAGAGAACCGGACCTCCTCTTCTGGGACAGTGGTTTTGGATAAGTCAGAACACAGCAAACAGTTGTTGTTTTGCCAAAACGTTATTTTGTTTTATCGGACTTGATGGAAATAGTGGTGCAGAATTGTGTAAATGTCAGGTGGTTGAAGTGGTGTAAACACATTTCCACAGGACTTCCCAAACTATGTGTGATCTTTACTGGTAATGGTCCTGTAAGTCTTTTGTAAAGGATGGGGAATGCTGTAATTAACTTTTGTGAGGTTGCATGTGTGAGTGGTGTGCACGCACTCACATGAGTTTGTTTTGCATGCCTAAGTACCATGCAAATTGTTCCATCAACTCTTTGGCATTTAATTATTTAGTGAAAGGCCAATTATTAAACAACCACAGCACAGGGTCATGGAAATGTCACATTACTCACCAGCTTGTTGTAAATGAAGTAAAACTAAAGTCTTTTAAGTCACAAAGAGTAATTGTAAAAACTGTCATTAACATGGGAGGTACTACGGAAAAACCCGTCATTGGCTTTTTGGGTTTATTCAATAACAAAACAGGTTCTGACTTACAATTTCCTAACTTCTTTTCTATTCAGTCATTATTTGTGAACTCAATGACCCATATCCCCCATAAAATGAAGTGTTTTAAGCCAGTATACATTTTCCACAGATTGCAATTTGTAGATAAAGTCATGAATAATTTGTTCTGTATCACCAGTGCTGACGCACACGCAAAAGATCAAATAAATTGTCTTGCCAGCTAAACAGTTAACAAACATGTCACTTTCTACTTTCCAGGCCGACACTCAAAACATGACATGATGCAAAACTAAACATATAAGTCGCTGGATACGGTCCTTTCCACCTGTTAGCTTGTGTCTGGTGCAGTACGTCATTTTATCAACATTTTAAACAAGGGAATGTGAGAAAATGAAACACTCGCATACACATATGTTGTGTATGGAAAATTATTTTTATCCAAGCTTTTCACATATTATCCTCTTTGTGTTGTATAAATACACATTTTGGGATTTAATAACAATGTGAAAATGATTTAGTGGTGATAGCATTTTCACTTCTGAAGTAAAAATTCACACATTCTTTCACACTGTCTTACCAAGCAATGATTATAACTGATGCTGTCTTGCTGTCTATCTAAAACCTCCAATTATAGACAGACATGTATTCTGGGGATTCTATGACACCACCAGCTCCATATACATATGTAGACCCTTCAGATATGCCTACATGTGGTACGAATGTCAGCAATCATCCTCAAGGTCACTTTGGTCTCTTTGAAAGTATATTTTTCTTTCTTCCTTCATCTGTACTTTATTTGTGCAAAGTTTGCTGCTGAAGTCCGTTTTTGAATCCTGCATCTGTTCATGTTTCTATTGACTTTATAACCAATCACATCACCTCTGAAAGTTTTTGAAGTCTGTGTTTAAGACATGCGTCTCTTGTGTGCAATCGCACTGCCTCCAAAAGCTGGGCAATGGGTGGGGCCCATCCTCCAGCCCAGCGGACAGCAGCTCAGGCACAGGTGGTGAGTTTTCACTTCCATGTCCCTGCAGTAGCTACTGCTACTAGTTGGTTGGGATATGTGTGTGATGGAATTGGGGGGAAAAGTTGGATTATTAAAAAATGTGCACTATATGATAACATATGTTTATCTCACACGGTAACAGACAGATATCACACTTGGGACTGAGGGTTGCCCAAATAGGTCCCACTTTACTTTACAGCACACATGACACGTGTGTTGCCAAAAAGGGACACAAATTCCAGCCCATCTAGAACCACAATAAGACCCATATGGACATATTGACAGGGGAATGATTTAAACAATAGTTCCATAGCACTGGTTTTAGATACACACTGTGATTGACATAGAAACATTGCAGGAAGTGTCAGTGTCTATATATATATATGTACAAAGTCAAATTAATATTATTAATATTAATATTTACCTTACATAGTCATTTGACTTATTTGCCTTATGCTCATGACTTGCAGTATTCATAGCTTACTGACACCCGGTGCACTGTGAGTCTTGCAGTTGGACCACATTCAAGTCCAAAGTGGAGTGATGATAAATTCAAATCACCTGTGAGTGCCTGTACATCACCACCCTCTTAATGCATTCGGAGCAGCTCTGGGCTCAGACCACAACAGTAAAAAATCCCTATTCAGCTCACAACAGTCATTGTATTTAACTGAGAGCAAGATGGCTTATTACTTGCTGGAGACCGTAACAGGCAGTAATTTATTGATGCTTCCCTGTCTGTCCATTTTCACATTGTCTATCTTAAGTTGTACAATTCTCTCTCTTGCTGCATTCCAGTGGGATGAACCTGTCCCAAGCTGAATGATACAGTTTTAAGTAATGGCTTCTAACTTGTCAGATTCTCGTTTGCTAGATTTGTAACCATGAGGCTGCATTTTGACATTCTTACTTTTCTTATGAGCCACCTTTTCAGCAAGATCAGACATGGTATTACACTTTCAAATCTTCTTTCCCAGGGTTTTTTATTCACCAACATTAATCATATCACAAACACTCAAGGCATACTCCTGACTGGAGTCGAATGTGAAATAAATTCTGCCTCGTCTAATCCCTTGTGCCCTACATGTCAATCCACACACATTCCAGCACATTCCCATGACCTGGCTGAGTTCACAAGGAACGTACGCACATGATGATGATGACGATAATTAGGACAATCAGGAAGAAATCTTCAAATTTACTGAGGTAGGTCAGGGCACTTGGCAGAGGTCAGTATGTGCCTTATTTGGATGCACGGCCTCAGTGAACCGAATGCACTCTGATAAAGTGGTACAGTAGCATGATGAGATTCCAAGCAAAAGGAAAACTGGAGCAGACACATACTCCCTCTTGCCTCGCTTGCAATGCCGAGACAGGAAATCCTCCTTTTGATTGTGAAATGAAGGAGCAGAATTGAGAACAATCACGCCACCTCCGTCGTGTGGTGCCTGCACCTGAGATCACTGCCACGGAACCAGTGGCATGTGACAGAAACTCACATAAACACACATTACTTGCATTGACTTAGTCGTTTGATCAATTACAGACCCCTGGACATAATTGTTTCTTCCTCATTTTTGTTTGAGCTTGCAGGATTTTGAGTTCTCCTCAGTCAGTCCTCAGTAGTACAAGGCCAAACCTCAAGAAATCTGATCAGTTCTACCCTCATCCAGCTCCCAGGCCTCCCCAGTCTGGATGAGTTAAAAGGCAACATCCCTCTCATATGTTCATTTGTTCATTCATGGAGGCCAAAGTCATAGCTGCCACCATAACTGTTCCCATTTACACTGCCTCCCTAAAATGAGGGCAAATTCGCCAGCATTGCCCATGATTATACTCTGTAAAGCCCTGTTGGCTCGCTGCTTTAAACTCGAGAATCTTTCTTTTAAACAAAAACAGACACATAGTTTTACCCCCTTTCTAATCAGAGTGCAGTTTTGGAGTATCTAAATAAATATGACAACGTTGTCCTCGCTCCCTTCAACAGAAACAACTCACAGCTATATCAACACTTTTAGATTCTGCAGTGTACACTTTCTGATTTTTTTCTTTTTAGCCCAAAATTAAAAACATACTTGCTGTCTAGCACATTTTCTTTACAATCAGTCACCCCACACTTCTTTGTTCTCAGTATCCTGTACTATGATATCTTCACACCCCATCCAACAGTTGATTCTTACTGTATGTTTCTGGATTCCTCCACTGATTTGCTCTGACTGCTCATTTTCTTAACCTCAGCAGTCCAATTGAAATAATACTTATGTTACTGTGGCACAAACCCATTAAATATGTCACAGTGTGTTAGTGAAAAGGTCAAAGCCGTCTTCAGTGGAATGGAGCAATATGCAGGCACGCTTAACTTTTTTCGCTTTTTTAAGTGGAATGTGTCATGGATTTTATTCAACTAGATCGGACAGTAATACCTTGTAATGTTCTTCCCCTAATGGCTCAGTGGACAGAACTCAAAGCGCAGTGTTCACACAGTATTCGCTAATAAACACATGAACGCCTTTGACATGTGGTTTAAATTAATTGGCCTCCCACCACATGTAAGAGCCATTAAACACAATCATTGTGGTCCTCCAGCCCCATTCTCTCCATTTCGTTTTGTTTTTTTGTGATATAAACCAGGTTTTTCCCTCAAAAAATACAACTTTGTAATTTTGACCTTAGCTCACTGGTCCCGTTGGATTTAGCTGTTAGTCGTCCCAGAACAACTGCAGGCATTTTTTCATCCTCCCTTTCTTTTTGTGGCTGTTCCTTGCACACATGAGGCCACCATGTCTGGAATCCAGAACGACCATCTCAGGAGTTACTCTGGGTTGCAGCCAAAAATCAGGCGAGAAATGAGACTTGGGGGTGTAGGTGGGGGTTGAGGGTGTCTGCGGTGCTGCAGTCGCTTTCTGAAAGAAGGTCTCCAACTGCAATACCTCATCAGAATGAAAACAACTGGAATCTTCTCCTAATCAAGCCTATAAAGTTTTGTTCTTCCTTTTTTTTTTTGCTTTCACTCTGGCTCTGGCTAGAGCTGCTGTGTTCACATTTTGTTTGTGTCCCATCACTGCTATGACCTGGTGCAATGTGTATGCCATGGACAAATTTCAGTTTTGCTGTCTGGGTCACAGATGATAAAAGTGTTTGAGAATGCTTATCTAATAAATGGCGTCATTATTTAGAAATGCTGTTACATGCTTTCCAATTTAAAAAAAAACTAAACAAACATTGATGGCTGAGAAATGATTGGCTACACTTTCAGCTAGTGTCACACATGTTGGTGACCTTTTGCTTTCTCTGCTGTATGTTTCAGGTGTGTATGTACCACCTGGTGCTGGGATTGGACCCGGAGGCACTGGGCCAGGAACTGGATTCTTTCCAGGTAATAGAGCCTCCAATGACTGTCTGGACAGTTTAGACCAAAATATTTCAGAAGACAGTAACAGCAAACAAAGTCTGTTTGTCTTTGGCAGAGGTACAAAATAGGTAAATTATACTGCAAAGATACTTGAAAATGTTTCGCCCCTCATCCAAGACGCTTCTTCAGTTCTGGACTAAAGAAACGTCATCGAGTATCTTCAACCGAATCCAGTTGCCCTTGATTTTAACCTCCTTGGATAACTATGACCTGGAAGACTGAGAATCTTTATAGATATCATTATATTATTATATTTTGACTGAATATATATCACTTCCCTTACTCAAATGGAAAACACCATTGGCATAATTCCTCTCATGTTGTGAAACTGTTTTAGATCAGTTTCTCAATACTTTTGTGCTCAAGGTTCCATATACTGTATTTCAATTTCAATTTCAAAACATTTTTATCCCAGAGGGGCAATTGCAGAGGCCCGTAGATTAGCACAGTTTAAATTAAGAAATATTTTCATAATAAACATACCTTAATAAATAAATAAACACATATATATCAGCATCATAACACTACTAATTGAAATGAGTACATTATCAAACACACAGTGCAAGGAAATTCATGTGCAACTGAACGCTTTCTTGTAGCTGAGTTTGTGCTGAGTTTATGTTGACTTTTTCAGTTTAATAATGCTGCACACTTACTGTCTACCAACATAGGAGGGTGAGCCAGTATTCTGTAAGAAATAACTAGGCAAGCGGAAATATATATAACGTAATATATATATATGTGTGTATATATATAGACATAAAATAAATGTAAATACATGGTGTACAACATATCTTATTATTTTTATTTACTGTATGGTCACATTTAAAAAACAGAACATAGATTTTGAACCACACAAACATCTGTATGGACCCCTGCTCCGTCATGTGGAAAAACCTAAATCCATACATGTGGCACAAAATGCCACAAAATGCAACAACATGCTCTCCTTGTGCCTTGAGAGAAAGTAAGACAAAAGTCAGCTGGTGTAATGATGGGCCAAAAAACTGTCCATCCATACATCACTACATGTAGTAAAACCATAACTCAGTACCCTGTATGATTGTTGTTTTACAAGGGTCTGCTGGAGGAGTCCCCACCGGCTATAAACCAGCTAAAGCTGCAGGTGAGTAGGAGAGACACTCGATTTATGATTTTTCCCCACACATAAAATAAGTTGTAAGAATCGCGTCTGTTTTATCATGAATTGGTGCATGCACTACTGTTTCAGTGATTTTAATATAAGAAACTGAAACTGTTTGTAAGTCCTTAATTACATTGTAAAATATTTTGAAATCTCTAGAGGTCTTGAATGCATTGTTTAGAAAAATGTTTGTAGCCTCATCATTACCTGATGTGAAACTAACTGCAGAGGTTCATATGTGAAATGTTCACTGTAGCCCATTATAAATTAATCCATTCCATGAAGTAAACGCAGTGTTGCTTTTTCATGATTTGAACATCTCGTCCATGTGGCCATTGCCTCCACTGGGCTTAATGCACAACCACAGATATTCTATCTGGTGTCTGTCATTTCACACATCTGTATCAGAAACATTCAGCTCTGCATGCACAGCCCACTTCAAGAACAGTTCACCAACTGTAGGCAATGTCCTGGCATGGCTTCAGCTCCCATTTGCTGAACAGGTTTTTTAGTTAGGAGTACTTTGGAGAACTGATGCAATGAGACTTTTGAACTGTGATATTACACAATACTGTGAGTTGAAGTTGTGGCTGGGACTGTGTGTTGGAGCACCCAGTGTAACATTTATGTTAACAAAAACCAGAAGAAAGATATTTTTTGTTGTAAAGACACATTCCCTGTCAACACTCAGCTTTGGTTTGGTCAGATCTGGAGGAAACACATGGTGAGACTTCCTTGCCACACCGCTACAAGCTAAGAATAATTAAATCCTTGGGATATTGCTGTGGCAATAAACAATGTGTTCAGGAGCCAGTCACTGTTGTGAAGCCAGTTTATTGGAGACGTTATAAGGTTTGAGGTTTGGAAATGTGTGGCCTGTTACTTTTTTCTCTCATACAAGCTCAGTGGTCAGCAATTATGACTAATGTGATATTAACAAACCCTAAATAACACACCTGTTTGACCCTGACAGTAGGAGGTTATGGAGGTGGAGGGCTTGGTGTGGGCCCAGGTTTTTTGGTGCCAGCAGGTGTTGGTGGCTTGGGCACCGGAGGACTGGGAGCGGGTATGAAAATAAAAAAACTTGCAGACACTTTTTTGCATTATTTAGGCCTTTTCTTCAACATCTCAATATATCATACATTAAAAACCGGGCATCACTCCCTTTTGAATAGAATTCATATTAAGACAAAATTAAAATGGTTGTATAGTAAGTGGTTATTGAAAATGTTTTTATATTACAGGGCAAAAGCAATTTAATTTTTACTTCTTTTAACCCAACAGGACAAGGTGGAAAGGCCCCTAAACCAGGTAAGTTGGAACGTTTACGTATGTTATTGTGTTCTGTAAATAGTAGAATGGGCAGGTTTTATGTTATAAATAGAACACGATATTTTTAAGGGGTGTATAAAGGTGCTTAATGTATAGACTGCAGTATGAGACCTGCACAAACCCTGGGCAGTGGCTAAAGAGAAATAGTCTTTTGATTGGTTGTCACCAGGTTTTCCTTATCACCCCTATGTTTTCATTAGAGTTGGTTTACACTGGCTTAGCAGCAGTTTGGGGCGTCGTGATCGGGTGGGACCATACAGAGATTCAACCACTCCTACACCTCTGCTGTATTAGGGAGTGATGATTGGCAGAGTGAAAACAGCCATCAACGCATGCCAAACAATGGTGCCAGAGCACTGATCAGTGTTATTGTAATGTTAGACCCTTACAATATCTGGAAACCTCCGTGTTGAAATTTACCACGGCCCTTCTCTCTGAGACCGTTCTATAAATATTTTCCTTTTCCGTATAGCAATCTGCGCTGCACTTGTGCTTCAGCAATGTTCAGCCATCGTTTAATTTCTGTAAGCATTGCTGATAAAATCTCAGCCTACCTCTATGTGTTTGGAAAGATAAGGAAACGAGCAATCATCTTAAAGTCCTGATAACACATGGAGCAAGTTACAGGAGGGTCCCTCTGGAGTGCCACAACCCCACCCGTTAACAAGAGCTGCAGGAGAGCCATTTTGTGAAAATGACCTAATATCCAGTATTTGGTGGAAGTTGATTTTGGCTGGGATCAGCAGAGCCTTACTTGGGAAGTATGGCCCTGGCTTTTGTTTGCATGTGAGTTCTCCCTCTCTCTCACCAGGTGTACATGGCAGAAATTACATTAGCGAGAAAAAGGAAGGCAAACTCTGATAAATCAGCTCCTTGTGTTTTTGAAATTAGGTCTGTGCACTCCCTCCCGTACGCCATGCTAATCTCTGTTGTATAGAAAAAAGAAAAGCTCACACAGGGAGAACATCTAGGGGTCAGCTAAGGTTTTTTACATTTTTATTAATTGGTAGGACTTAAATTCACTAAGGGGCTGGAATATGTTCTGCTTCATGGTTGTAATTGTGTTGAGTAATATCTAAATATTACTGAATGTTATTGAAAGTCAGCACTGATGTTTCCATCAGTGCTGACTTTCATATCAGCAATTTGAATTCAATCAGAAGAATATTGCCTTTAGCTGTTAGCATTTGAATATGACAATTTTCTACATACCTTACGAGTATGACGTTTCCATTTCTATATAAATGTACAACTACAGTTCACCAGCAGGTGAACCTCTCACAATGGCTAGGTGAATCCATTTGTATTAGTCAGCCAGTGTTTGGCTCATGTCACAGAAAACGTGCCAAAAATAAACTATATGCTACAAGCATATGAAAAATCGTTCACCCTCTTTATTAAACTTTAACATAAAAAGCTGGTTTTTGTTACTGAAGAGACCCAAATGCAAACGGTAAACTACTCTTAGATGCACACTCACACACACATCAAAAGAGCTGCCATTCCTTCTTATGCGTGACTGCAGTGAATTGCAGCACAGCTCATGCGAGACCTTGTAAATGTTACACTAATTGTGAAGCCTGTCAGCATCCAGCTTCGACAATACGCTGAAAGCTGGCAAGAGGAACTTTCTCTTTATGAACAGCTGTTAGACACCGTCTCTTATCCTGTTCCCTCGGGCAAAGGTGGATTCATTCCTCATGGTGTGAGTGCCAAAACCTGGCTTTCGTAGGCTAGCCTCTTGTCACTTTGAGTCAGTTAACAGGAAACATAAAGGTTACTGTTTTCGCTGTTGGTGGAGTTTTATTGTACCATTACAAAAGTCTGTTTTAGGTTGAGAAAGGATGTGTCTGGGTGGGATAGCCATACTCAGCCAGTATACTCTCCAAATTGAAGATGATAGAAAGACAACATGCTGTCTGTTCCACCTGTCTCCAGCAATGTCACACAACTCTTCATAAATCTTAGAGCAAAGAAAACTAATTTGAGAAGTCAGAATTTGTAAGCAATTTAATTTTGCGTTTCTCTGCCTAGATTATGGATATCACATAGTAGATAGATGAAGTACCATTGTGTCCTAATATTTTGTCCATCCCTATTATCAATTAGGGTCGACATGACTGACTACATTTTAGAAACATCTCTCATTATTGTTATGAGAATTACTGGCAATCAGCTCTTTGTTAGTGTCTGTAGGCACATAAAGTGTGTGGGAGGTGTGTGTGAAAGAAAATGACCAAAGGAAAGAAATTGAAGGCTGCCTGGCTGACAGTGAGTTGTTTGGGGCTCAAGTTGGCATCAGAAGCTAGCTGAAGCAGAGGCTCTCCTAACAGCCAGACTGCACTCGATCTGTAGACGTAGACGTTCTAGTACTAGTTTTGTTTTCTATGGTTGGTTCAAAAGGAAACTAATTTGAAAGCAACATTTCACAGCAAAAGACCAGCAGGAAAACCGATGTAGGCTCTCAGTCCGAAAGTAGCTCAACAAAGTTGACCCTCTGTCCTGTTGTATTTCGCAAAATACGCAAGTTGACATGTGTAGGACAAGATTGTATGCACTCATTTGGTAATTAAACAAACCTATATTTTATAGACATGTCTAATAATTATTATGAGAACTTGACTGAACCTGAGCATTCGTGGTACTTTGATAAATAAAGATTGGTTAGTCAGGCGTCATGCCCCTTCACTCTTCCCCCATCCGAGTGGATCAATTACTTATTCAGACATGTCTACAGATTTGATCAAATCAGCAGGTATCGTTTGGCAAAGTGTTACTGTAATAACCAACCTGTTCATAACTAACTGTTTGAGTTAGGCTAGGCTGAGATTTTTTTAGTTTGTTTAGGCATGTTTAGTGATCCTGCTGCATTGTGTGATTGTAATCCAGCAGCCTGCAACTCAAGCTAGCTATCCATTAGTAGCATTATTTAGCTATTTGCACACACTAACAAATAAACAGGCAACTGAGAGTATATAGTCATCACCTCTCATGTCACCCTTCATTCTAGCTCTTCCCTGCCACTGAGTAAGTATAACAATGCAAAATAATGGAAAAATTGTGAAAATAATCCAAGATAAAATCACGCTGGAAGAAACTGCAACACTTATAATTCAAGATGATGTATTACATTGGTCAATGCAGCAACATGTCTCTGCGAGTCGTTTTTGACAGAGTTCTGAAATCTTGGATCGTATGTCTTCTGTGACTGCGGGCCAACCTGCAGTAGAATAGAGAGTTATAGCTTTGGACAGCAGAAAATATGTTGGTGGTTTTGACGTTTCACAGTCTTTGTGACTCTGTTTTAAAGGGGGTACTCACTTTTAAGGGTGTTGCTCACGTGCAGTTACCTAGAAAATTGTCATCTCACCACCTACCCGCTCATTTTATAGTGCAAATTTTGGATAATTTTTAATATTATGTGCATCTTTCTGTGATTTAAAACGCACGGTCCTTCAATGCGCCTGGCTCTTTTGGTTTATCTTCAAACCCTCTGGTTCATATCAGGGTCATTGTTTGAAGAAGCACTAAGTTTACTTGTCTGCTTCACAACAGGAAGAGTGAGAAAAGGCAGATAAATTGGAAAAATAGAGCGGATATGGGGAGGACAGAGACAAGGAGAACAGAAAGGGCCGATAACTCTTGCGGACATGCCTTGTATACTGCATATGTCATACGTATACAAACACACACACACATACACATTTTGCGCACATTCATTGGCGCAACACATATGCTTAAGAGAGCTTGCTGAAAGAAAGGAGACTGATAGATTGAGGTGAGGATGAAAGCGTTTAGCCAAAAGAAGATGAGCTTGGAGGAGGTTTAGTCTCCTGGAGCACATATGCTTTTCATTACTGGAGCTCAGACCTGTCCTCTGAGCTGTCAGAGACTGGAAGCATCTGCATGTGTACGGCTGTGAGCGTATATACATATGGTTATGGTATTCATATGTGTGTAATTACAAGTGTGAGCACATGTGCACACATACAAAATTAATATGTATCCCGACACTGGTTTGGGGACATATAGCATCCCCAAACCAGTTCTGAACTGAATCTCAGTGTCAAGTTTTCAATATCTTTGAACCTGAGCTGTCTGCAGAGGAGACTTTTTATTTATATATCACATCGGCCCACCCAATATACACACAGCCTACACAGTTTGTTTGTTCACATTGGACATTCCTCTTGCTTCCCAAATAATTTATCTTGGTTGATGTCAGCAGATGTTGTCGTTAGCGTCTTCAGTAAGCTCTTGAATTCATCTCAAGAATTAAAATGATATCGGAGTAAAGCAAGATAAGGGCTTTATTCATTTTTATTGGTGTCTTATCATCAACACATTACAGTTTCTAACTGTGGTATTTTCCCCCACATTGAATGAAACTGATACTCACTATGACTCCACAGCCTTTCACCAGTTATGTGTCATGTTTGCATGGTTGTTCTCTAGTGAGAATGTTACCATCATTTTTTCCATGTTCACCATGTTGAGTTGATGAGCCATCCCTTTGCATGCTCTCACAACCTCTCCCCTGCTCCATTTGCCAGCAGGTCTGGAGCATGGACCACTATCAGTGTCCATCTGGCAGCACAGCCTAAGTGTTGTTTATGTAGTGATGGAGAAATGTCTTGCTTTTATTTCCCTAAGAGTCCGTGAAGACAAATCCCCGGTTGAACGACCTTCTTGCAGTCGTTGGTAGAAGTGGACTGAAGTCTATTTGATTGCAGGGCCTGTTTAATGGATTTTTGGCAGAGTAAGCAATGGCAGTGCTGTTTTTTGAGATAGTAGAGCAGTTGAGACTTACATTTACAGTAGATATTCCTTTATGCAAGTTGATTATGTTTGAAATATGTCTCATGATGATTGATTCACAGAGCGCTTAAGTCTAAGCTGAATGTAATGCAGGACAAGTATTGCGGAATGCGACTTAAAGAAATACCTTTGAAACAGAGAACCTTTAAATAGTCACTGCA